AAGCTATTTAGACACTCATTGTGCTCACAGTAACAATATCTTTCTGTGTTTAAATGTCATGCATTTTTGTGCTGATTTTCTGCTGATTTTAAACCTATTTTGTTGTTATCAAGATCAGAAGATTTTTTTATGTTGAAATACTGCTCTTTATTCATTAACCCATTACCTGCTCAATGTTGGGAGCTCTGTTTCAGTTTTTTATTTTGAATCAGAGTTTTTTTTTGTTTTTTTTTTCGGAGTTAACAGCATTGAGGGGTTTAAACGTTTTCCTCAGTAATGTTACCGTATTCAGCTGTTTTGGAATAGTTTGTGTTTTAAATCTAAATGAAGAAATATTTAACATTTAGGGTGAGTTTTATACCTTGGCATAGATAAAAAGACATGCAGATGTAGAGGTGGACATATTGCTGAGCATAAAATTTAAAAATAAATGCACTCTTAAGGTATTTACTGGGAAAACTACTACTACTACTACTTATAGTAATAGTAATAATTGTAGGAAATAAGATAAATCTGTTTTAGTATATCTTGGCCATCAAGATATACAAGTTTTTTGAAAATCTCAAAACAGTCAAACATTTATCTCACACCAGTTTTGAAGTTTAAAGTTCCTTAAAGGAGAAGACAGAGAAACTACCATATTGAGAAGTCTTCTCTAAGTGTTGAGCACATCATCATGGTCTAACTAGATTACAAAAACCTAATATACTTTTTTCTTGAATATAAGAACTCAGCTAGCTAAAATTATCGCAATATGTGAAAAACTTTAATTTGAAAGGTTGGAGGCAACTGGGTTTGCTACGTATAGGTGTAGTCTGGTATTCTAAACATGTACTGTACAGTAGTGCCCTACACTGCCCCCTAGAGTCTACCAGAATATTTTATAATGGTGGGAAAAAAAACACAGGAGTACTGCATGCTCCCTATGCTGTGAACGCAGTGTTCCCATCCTTTCATTTTCACACAGAATGAAAATGCCTAAAATATAAACAAACCTTTACCCTTTGACCTAATCCACTATAAATTGCACCAAAAGAAAGAAAACAAATTGGTGTTTCTAGGTTTCCAGCACGCTAATGCTTTGCTGGGCGGTTTGGATGTGGCACTGAGGTGAAGTCTTGATTTTAATTTCCCTATTTACAGTATAATCAGGTCGTCTGCACCAAATTGAATATGATCACTTTGAATCAAACTTCTAAATGATATTTAACCAAAATGCGGCCAAACTGGGCTATGTGAGGTTATATAAATATATATATAACCAGTAAAAAAATCTACCCAGGGCTGTTCTGAGGTTTTTACAAAACCTGAAATGTTGGAGTCTAAGAAAATGGTTAACATGACCATGTAAATGTTGACACTCATCACAGTACTTGAGTATTTTTTTTTTTCTATGGAAAGTTAATTTACAGCACTACATTACAATATTTGTTCTACATCTGTGTATTGCACAGACAAACATGTTCAGGTTGTCCAAAAATATTACAATACCAACCTTAGCAGTAGGCTAACACAAACACAGATACAAACACAAAAGCTAAAGTTAAAAACCTAAAAACTTGACTTTCACAGTTTCAAGTTTTTTATTTTTTATTTCTGCATGTTTTTGTGTGTTTGCAAGTTACATCATGTTTGCAACTTGATCTAAATTTAACACGCTGGTTTCATGTTTTCTTTGCATCAATCATTCAATGGAAGGAACAATATGTTGTAAGACTTGCTGTTTATTCCAACAGCATTTATGGGATGAGTCCTGGTTCTGGATTACTTTCCACACTATTGCATTTCATTCATTGTATTATATTAGTTTCCTGATATGTAGTCTCTACACATGCTAATTCAGGAAGAGCCTTTCCTAAAAATCAATGAATGGCTGCAATCAGCTGGTTTTCCTCAGATAGAAAACCTTTTACTAATCTGACTGTATGATCAATTAAATATGTCTCTGCAAAGTGCACTAAGATCACATGTGTTGTGAATATTATATAAATAAACTGAGTTGAGCAGCTGTCTGTTTACTTTGTGTACAACACAAATTACCCCAATTAAGGTTATCTGGCAAGTAAGATAAATTGTTTTGGACCAATGGTATACAGTAACATGTATATCATAGCGTCAACCAGAGGTTGGAAGGCTGAATTAAAACCAACATGGCTTCACCAGTTTCAAATGAAATACCCTCTATTGTTTTGTTTTTCTCATCCACAAAGTATTCTTTGTGGATGAGAAAGATGTTTGCATGGTCCTCCCGAACAGAATTGATGCAAGTTTAAATTATAAGTCAACTTCACTAGTTGTGAAACAAATCAAGAATGTGATATAATCACAACTGCTACTGCTGCAACAATTGGCTAAAAGCTCGGCATGGGAGGCATGTGTCACTTGATTTACCCAATCAGCTTGAAGAATTGTACTGAACTTCCCTTTCTTTTGTGAATGTTTTCTAGAGGAGTCTTACCAGATTGACTCCGTGAAGAATTAGGAGCTACACGTATTAATCTGGCTTATGCCAGGTTACTAGTACCAGCATAAGTCGAGTTCCCATACTTTGTCTAAATACGTTTTTTGCCTCCTGTTTCTCTGCCTGCTGTAATTATTTCTAGTATATGCTTAGCCTGCATGCAAGCAGATCTACCTCCTCTCTTGACACCCTCACATCCTTCTAACAACAGACACATTTCTTTCAACTCTTCATCAAAAAGATGCTATTGGCTGTCCCATAAAATCACAAGAAGTCACTAGATGATGTCATCACACAAATTTTGTATATATTCATCAATTTAGCCACCACCCACCAATGTAAACATAATCACATGTTTCTGTGGTGATTGACCCACAATGATAGTGTGTAGAAGCTATTTCTCAAGAAACACACCTTAACTTTAAAAGGAAAGTTTCAAAATGCTAAAGGTAGTCCTCATTTATGCTTTGCCATAAAACAGGAAGTGACAAATCCCAATGTCGTGGTAAATGCAAGAGTTTTTAGAATGCAAAAATGTAATTGGTCAAAATCTTAATCTTCAGCTCAGGCTTTAAAGAATGAATGTCGGTGTTAACAAGAAAAACTCGATTACTGCTTGTCTATCCATATTGTAACTATTTTAACCAGCAGCCCATTATGCTAACACGACTGCTTAATCCAGCAGTCTCTATGTGTTGTTAGGGTTATATAGTCTGCTGCATTCCAAGCAAGCTGGCATGTTGTCTATAACCTGCCATATTCCTGAGCCCCCACAACCAGAGGCTACATTAAGCAGCTTTTATGCACTGGAAGGACACATATAAAGCCTTAAAACACATAAGAAGGGAAGAGACAGGCTGGAAGGCAACGAAAAATAAAGCATTGCCCCAGAGACTAAGGCAGCCCTCTATAGTGAGAGTTCAAAGGAGGTGAAAGGAATAAATATGAGTGATTCCACTGTTAAGGACATGGGTCAGCTTAAATATTGTACTCATTGTACAAGATTTATGAATAACAGTCTTTAGGTTGTAATCTAGAAGCACACCCATTAAATATGCAGTATATCTGTGTTAGTATGCTTCGGTGTGATGCCTTCAGTTGGTCTTGTGAAAAAAGCTAAGAGGTATCTGTCACTCTGCATCTTTTTTAACACACTCAATACCTCAAAGGGAAAGAATGTGGATTTCTCTTTGTGACTTCGTGCTTTTGCATTAGTGGATGACATCTTCATTCATTTTCAGTAGAAATACAAAAAAATGTTTTTATCTGTATGAGACAAGTTTTGATATTGCTTGTATTGATGTCCTGCATGAACCTCCTGTTATGCCCAACTTTCAACAAACTAGATGTCGATTTTAGGTCAAGTTGAATTTAAGAGGAAGTTTAGAATTAAATTGCTGTTGGTTCCATATTTTTTTTTATCAAATGTTTATTTTTTATTAATTATTTATTATTCAATATACATAAATATTATACTAAGGGATCAATAAAAGTTAAATGTACCAAAGAAAAAAAGACATTTACCATTCATGTTTGTAATGATTGTATGTATGCCTCTAAATGGAGCTAGAAATGAGGATACGACAAGGCATAATCTTCAACTCTTATCCATTATTATAAATGTTATATCCAATTTCTTAGCAAAAAAAAAAACCCAGAATAAAACATCTCTTTCAAGATTCTAGTTATTATGAAAGAATATTTATGCACTATTTCAATAAAACACCTCCACTCAAACAATAACACCAAAGATAACCTGTTGAGCTCATTTGCACATTTTGCAATGAATACAATTATAGTTTCATAATGAGATTTAGACGCAAGAGAAAATTGCTCAGCTGTCCATCAGTAGAATGAATTGTTGATCTGTCTTTGTCTTTAGATTAGAGCAGTACAATTACCAAGTAATTTCAGCTAAAGAGGAGTTTTAAGAGAGTCCAGTAATGCTTAAGACAGACTTTATAAAGTCAGGTACTGAAAGCTGAGATGAGGAAAAAAAGAAAAGGAAAAACAAAAGGAGTTTAACAGTATTTCGGACTATCCGTCACACAAAAACGAAGAACATCTGCACCAAATACTGATAGCATCTTTCTACTAAAATCAATGTGCCAACTGAAACCAACAGAAGCAATGAACCTCTATTGATTGCATGAAATAAATCCTCCTAAGTCAGTGATCTTGTGTGATACTAGAGGCAGAAATACAGCGTTCAGAAAAGTGGAACGAAGATTGAACAAAATAGGTGGCAGGTTGAGGATCAATATTGGGTGTAAAGTGGAGCTAAAGTATATTGGCAAGGGTATGGCAGTGAAATAAAAAAAAAGGCACCACCTTAGATCTAAAAACACTTTCTAGTTTAACGGATTATGGTGTTTTTGATAGACACATTAAAAATACTGTAGACCTGACTCTTGTCTGTTTTGCTTTTTAAATGAGGCAACACTGGAACAAAGTTGATATAAAATAAAATAATTAGAGAATAATAGGTTTTGTTTATGATTTCTTTTCTATGTTCATTCTTTTAAAGTTGGAAACTTACCAAGCCAGAATTCGTCCTCAAGGTTTCCAAATCCAACTCGATAGTCACTCCACTTCCTGGAAAAGTCAGTCAGACCATTTTGACGACGCTGGAATACCTAGGAGAAAACAAACAGTAGCTTTACCTTAGATAGATTTAGAAGATATATATCGCTGGAAAATGAAGTTTATTTGCAAAGAAATAACATAAAAAGCAATAATTGGTTTCTTCCATCTCCTTCTATTCTATAGAAGTGCCAAAAGTGCATCTCCAGAGTGACTTACAATCCAGCCTCCTTCATCTGTGGTCATGTCACAGTACACCTGCACCCCTTGGCTGGGATCTCTGTTGATGTAAATGGTGTAGACGCCACTCACAGTCTCCCCGTTCAGCAGGTGTTGGGCACAGTTCTGAGGCGTTGAAAAAAGACGGCTCCCTGAAGAGAAATACAAGGCGGATGACAAATTTTAATTAGGTTATCCGTCTGCTTCTCCATCAAAAAAATTACATTAGGAGAATGTGAGGAATGCTTAAACACTTCAGGATATTTTCTTGCCTCACCCATTTTTTAGTCATATATCAAATACTGTCTTAGAGGTTTTACCAGAAGGGTAACAAAAAGATACAGTCGACCTGTAATTTTGTATTTCAAAATAAGTTCAGGCTATTACTATTAGTATAAATGTGTTTTTTTTAAATCATTAACCTCTGCATTCACATTTAATGTTTGATGTAATGACATGGATGGTCTAACATCTTGCTCCCAGAAAAATTCTTCTACATTTTTAACATTTGGGTGGCAGCACACTATTTTTATAGAAAAAAGGGAGAACTGATAAGCATGATATGAATAATTAGTAAACCCTTAGAGATGATTGGATGTGGCTAAATTATAGCTGCTAATGACACTAACATTAATAGTTTTACATTCTGAACCTCCTATTAGCCACAACCGTTATGGCCATATGATAAGCTGTTTTTACTGTCTCAGTTTTAAAATCTAAAATCCAAAATAAGTTTAATCCAAGGGCGTAGGTTTGATTTGAACTTTGGTGGGGACACTATTGGTCTGGTGTCATTGGTGCTGCAATATGCGTGCCCTTTTTTATGCTCGATGTGAGCATCCGTACTGATAAGAGGAATTCATTGTTAAAAGAGAAAAGCATCATTTTGCTACATTAATAAATTTTTTAAAAGCACTACACTCATTAGATGCTGTTTATCAATGTTTGAAGTATCACCGGCTCTGATGAATGTGGAATTAGGACTGTTTTCCACTTTGAAAATGGTTTCATTTGAACGACTAAGAGAGAAGGTAAATACAGTATTTTCTTTTGAAGATATAGAATTGTGCAGAGTTAAACCCCACTCTTATATTTTTAGCTACTATGCTCTCTTTATATCAAGCAAAATAATACATTCATTAAAATATTAACTTTATTATAAAAGTGGAACATCTGGGCTGTAGTTACTCTGTATAGCAAGGGCGTAGGTTTGTTTTCAACTTTGGTAGGGACACTATTTTTCAGTTTCATTGGTCCTTTGCAAAAATATGCATGCTCTTTTTTTATGCTTAATGTGAGCTTCAGGGCTCATTTTGTTTAAAGAGAACAGCAGCATTTCTTGCTACATTAATACAAATCTTATAAGCACTACATGGCATGCACTAGATGCTGTTTATCAGTATTTAAAGCATCACTGGCTCTGATGGATGTGGAATTAGGACTTTTTCCACTTTGAAAAGGATTGCATTTAAATTTACCTGCGACTAGGACAGTGTCTATTTAACCAAATATAGTCTAAATATGTCTGTAATATGTGGATTTATCCTGTGTTTTCTTCTGAAGATATAGAATTGTGCAGAGGTAAACAGAGGTAAAACCCACTCTTATTTTTTTTTTCTAATATGCTCTCTCTGGATCATGCAAAATAATACATTCAAGGGACGGTAAATAAATGTATTGTATTTACATGTGCACTGGAACTAGAAGAGGAACTGACACTGAGCATTTAAAATATTAATATTAGAAGTTGTACATCTGGGCTGTAGTTACTCTGTGTAGCTAAATTAATGTATTTTATCTAGGGCTGAAACAATTAATCATATTAACAAATTATTTAAATAATCGTGAACTAATTTAGTAATTGATTAATCGTTAACTGGAATATAGGGCCACTTAAACGTGGCTTTAGCCGACAGAGCGACCCACTTAGAGCAGGTTTTATACCAAGATTGTAAAAAAAAATATGTAAACATTTTGCATTTAGGAAGTAAAACATTTTTGTCTGTCAATATTCTCCATCCAGAACTCTTCCAAAGGAAACGTTTAAACGTTTCTGTTTCACCTGGTTTCATTTCATAAAAGATCTTCTTTAAGGAGCCTTTGGCTATCTGATTAAAAGATAAAATAAAAGAAATCCTAACGTTGTTAACTTACATTTCTCAAGTTCCACAAATCAAAAAACTCTCTCCTGCTTCTTTACAGAACTCCAATCAGAAGCTTTTGCCTGTTTTAGCTTAGATAATATTAAGTTTTTTAATTTGACTAGTTTCTTGGCACAATATTAATTTATTTTAGCGTCTTTTTTTTCGCGCTCCAAGCACCCGCACCTGCACACATACAGACTAGAAAACACGCAATCAGAAAGAGAGAAGGCGGAACTTAAGGCAGAATAATCAGAGAGTTAAACCGCGCAGCACAGTTGATGCGCTGCTATGTGAAAGGGACAGGAAAGAGCAGGCAGCTGCAGCTACCAGGCAGAGAAGCTGCGAGAGGAAAAGAAGCGGCTCCTGTATAGTATATTATAAACATGTTGTTCACATCCGATTATTGGTAGGGACAAATAGGTCCGTCCTAAATCTTGGTAGGGACATGTCCCTATGGTCCCTATGCAAACCTACGCCCATGCTGTATAGCCTATTTCATGTATTTCATATGGGGCTGAAAAAATGAATCGTATTAATTGATTATTTCAATAATCGTCAACTAATTTAGTAAGTGATTCATCATTAACTGGAGAATAGAGACTATAAAATATAATATAAATGTAAAATGTCCCTTTCCCCTACAGAGCAATCCACTTAGATCAGTAATTATACCAAACTTGTAAAAATACAATATGTATGTATGTATGTATATGTGTATATATATATATATATATATATATATATATATATATATATATATATATATATATATACACACACATATATATATATATACACACATATATATATGTATAATATATAAGATTAAAAAAAATTGGTCTGTCAATATTCTCCATCCAGTACTCCTTATGTGGAAATATTTTAGTTTCACCTGGTTTATTTAGACATCACCTGAAGCACTGAAGGGCCAGCTGCTTCACCTACAAGCTGCCCTGCATCATTATTACTGGATATCTGTGTTTCCTATAATCATATAATGTATAAGTGCATTTTTAATAGTAAAGGATTAAATGTAATACAACCTTTTATCATCGTCCTATATTGCTTACTTTCTGACTGTTTAAATAGCTCCTTATGTCTATTTTCTTTTTTAGTGGCATCATCTACATACACAACACTAAGAATAAGCCTAAGTGTATTCAAATATAAAATAATTTTTAACAATTATAAAAGACAATATAACACTATCTTATCTGTAATTTAATAATATCCAAAGTAAACAGCCAGATTCAAGCATTTTTACCAGACATTAATGTTTGTACTAATTTACTTATAAACTGTGTGGAAATCTATGTAAGATAAAATCAATGTTTATATTCTTCCTTTGTTTGTTCTTGTCTTTATCCTATTTCTAGAAGTAGAAATAGTCAATAAAATAGAACTATTATTATGTGGAACCCTAATTATGCTTTTTAAACGAAAAACAGCAGATGTTTAGGCCCCATTTCTTGTTGTTGTACTCTATAAGAGAAATAACACCTGCTAATAATTATACCTGAACTTTCTCAAAGAGTCATAAAAAATAAAAACAGTAATAGCAACTAAATATCGGTAAAAAGGAAACCCTCACATTTTCTTTTTTAGTTGGCTGTGGATAAGAATCAGAAATGTTGATGGCTTACAGCCTTTATTTGCCCATTTTGTGTCTTCAGAACTCCTGGCTGACTCAGAATATTTCGCTTTATAAAAGAAAAAAAAAGGTTTTTGTTTTTTGGTGTACATGATATTCATTTTTTTTTAATTGGGACTAGTTTTGTAGCCTAATATTTATTGTAGTAACCGCAGCATTCTAGTGTGAATAACTTTTCAATTTTGTGCTCCAAGCACACCAGGACTAGAAAACAGCCAATCAGAGAGAGAGAAGGCGGAACCTAAGGCAGAACAACCAATGAGAGTGGAGTTAAACAGCGCAGCACAGTTCCATGCGCTGCTGCATGAAAGGGAGAGGAGAGACCAGGCAGAGGAGCTGCGAGAGGAAAAGAAGTTATTGCTGCAACAACTACTGCTGTAAATTATAAATATGTTGCTCACATCCAATTATTGGTAGGGACAATTAGGTTGGTTCAAAATTTTGGTAGGGACATGTCCCTATGGTCCCTATGCAAACCTACGCCCATGGTTTAATCTAATTGTATTTTCCAAAAATATAGCTAAAATCTAGTCTTAAGCTCTTGCATCGATGTAGCATCTTTTGGCTGGATGTGTGTTGCATCCTTACCAGAGCATGTCAACGGAGCGGAGCACCGCGCAATTCCCGCTCACCTTAATTTTCCTAACGGTCCTGCAAAACTGCTCCCCACTACCTCAAATTTTCAGGAGAACGCATTTTCTGACATTCTTCCTTCATGTAATTATGCCAGGGCCCTGGGACACACAGCGTTTGATTTAACGATGTGACTGATGTGTATTGTCTTATTTAACTGGCTGTTCGAGTATCTCACTGTTTCCCAGCTATGAACATAACACCTTGCTCCATTCATGTTGTCCCGTGTTTACAATTTAATTATTAAATTATGTTACTAGACTACTGTACATTAAAAAAGGTCACTTCGCATCCCATTGCAAATGAGATAATAGCGTATTGTAGTGTGTTGGGGCAGCAGAGGCTAGTTTTCCCAGCATGCACTGGGCAGCATGTTCAGTTTTAGAAGCTGCCAGTTAATGTTATTTCACTCTTTCCAGGTTATTAAGTTACATGTTTATTTGTTACTGTTCTTGTGTCTGTTGTATCATTAGTTGCTGTTATAATTTGAAGTATTCTTTGTCCCACCATGAGTCTGGAAGATATGTCCATTAATGACCTTTCCTGGTTGTACAGAAAGTGGGTGTGTTCAATAAAAGAGGAAGCCTTCCGGAGTCGTGCGGTGTACGGGGCACGGAAGCTACCGCTAAACTGAAGTCATCTCTGGATAGTTATTGCTATAGCAACCCATTAATGCTACATTGGTGTCAGAAGTGGGATTCAAGATGGCTGCCACTGTGAGAGA